GAAATCTAATAACAGGGGAGGGTGTAATTTCCTCTATTCTATATGCTCGAATTTTAGATGGGCTATTATATGGTAAGATTATGGCAGGTTTTCTCTCATATCAAGATAGATTTACAGGGGACAAGTTCAGTAGTTTACTATTAAAATGTACACATATATCAAGTACTGCCATAGCAAGAATGCTATACTGATTAAAATCCAATTAAAATTGAAAATATAGTCGTTATTGGACCCCACTCGTCTAATAAAAGTCAACAATAACGGTTAGTTTTTCAATTTTAATCTCTACCAAACGGGCTCTAAATTTAACAATTTTTTTGATCCAGACACAAAAATGAAACTGTGCCTAGATTTTAGCCATTTATTGTGTACTGATAACTTTCTTGCCACAAAGAAACATATCTCATCTCCTCCAAGGGTTGTGAAAAATCCTCAAACCCTACAAATTCTTCTGCACCATGTTCTATCAAAGAATTTGTCATATAATCTGTTGTCCAACTAAAATCAAGTCTATCAGATGATGTTAAACAAGTTTCCATTAGATCCAAATCAAGTAATGGACAATTATCCAAATAGCTACCTTCATAAGTCTCGGGTATCATATTATGATCCGAAATCTCTTCTTCCAGAGATTGCATTACAATTCTTAACATTGCGTTGTCCCCACCCACTGACTCCTCGAGTAATGACTCAAGAAGGGCGTTGTCGTTATCCGAGAAATTGATATTGTTTAAGTTGGAGAAAGAAGTTCCAACTAATACACTGCCAGCCATATTGCAAGAAAGAAAACAAGATATGAGAAAATGAAATGAAAAGTATAGACAAGATACAAATTATGCAGGGAAGTTTACTTATATGCAGAGAAATATTACACAACTACCATGTGATATTGTCCCCTGATGTTCCCACTGTTCATGCACATATACCTAATTATGAATATAATTGATGGATGATCTTACATTGGATCAAAGAAATCTTATATTTATTTTATAAATGATATTCATGTGCATCTAGGATAGTTTAATAATTAAATGTGTTAGTTTCTTATTTTATAATCAAGGATGTAGGGCTCATTTTGTCTGGCTTTTGAAATCTAAAAGTTGTTTTTGAACTTGTTTGATTAATTTTATAAAAACATTTCTTATTGTTAGAAGAGTTTTTTAATGAAGACGTCCTATGTGGTCAAGGCCGATCCTGAGAATTTTGAGGCTCTAAGTGACTTATTATTATGAGGCTTTTAAACATAAATTTTTTTACAATTGTAAAAATATTTAAATAAATAATATATTTATATTTTAAATGAAGACTTGCTACAAATAAATAATAATAATAATAATAATAATAATCTCAAATGACTCGAAAAACCAGGGTAACATAATATTTAGAAGAATTATCCGTTGATGAAAAATATTGAGTAAATAATAATCTTCAGAAATTATTAATTGATAAAACTCAAGTAATGTGCAATTTAGTGATTTTTAAAAAGTTTAAGAAATGAAAATCATGAACAATTTTTTAGAATCATAATTTGAAGTCCTGAGAATAATGTAAAGATGACTAGTAAGGAAAAAAAAAAGTGATTTTCAGTGCTTAAACTCCAGATGGGGTCTTAAATACAAAAGGTGCAAATTTTAAAGACTAGATTGCAAAGTAGTGAGAAATATATGTGTTTAGACGATAATGTGACGAGGTAAAATTATTTAGTGATGAGAAACATAACTAGATTCTAAGAACTTTGATTCGAGAACCTCTAAATTATTTTGAGACTTTGAGGAACTAAAGTGAAAATATGTTTTAAGGACGTTAATGTATTTGGACCAAAGAAGTATTTACAGGACGATTGAGAATTATCCTATCAATATTGAACTCATTCCGATACTCGTGATAAATGACATTTTATGAACTCGAGAAAAAGTTAATTTGAATAAACAAAATTCAAGTTATAACTCAATAAAGTAAACAACTTGATATTGTGTAATATTAGTTTTCAAATTAAGCTACATTACCATAACAATATTGAGCTCATTTGGTAGCTCATAATTAATCATATTTATTGAACTTGAACAAAAGTTATTTTGAATAAGCTCGAACTAAGATAGAATCAATAAAAAATTATAGTTAAATGAATTTTAAGGTAATCCATCCTTTTGTAGTTAGTAATTTAATTGTACCTTCTACCATGTAGTTTTCTTTCATTTTAAGGCTCCTGAAGATTTGACGTCATAGGTCATTGCCTCATTGGCTTTGGTTTAGGAACGGTTCTAAATTTAGCTTCCTGTAAAAGTTCTTTTGGATAAAAGAACTATTTGAAAAATTAGTTTTCAAACACCAATTAAGGTATCTTCATTAAGAAGTTCTTTTTACACGAAATATATGAAAAAACAAAAGTCTTGCAAAGCGGACCCTTAAAGTATGAACCGTGCTTGGAGAACAGGGGCTGACTTACAGGCCCCTGCCAGGCAAGATACATTTTGGGGGGTGGGGCCAATTTTTTTTTTTAATTCAGATGTGGGGCCTCGGCACAGTGAGGTGCCTGTGAGGCCCCTGGCAATAATGCTCCTGTACTTGGAGCATTATTGTTAAAGTATTTGGTTCGTTTCAAGGTTGGAGCATTAATTGCTTATACATGAAACACTACTCAAGATTTAAAATGATTAAGGCCTACCAATGAAGGATTATTAATGTCCTTGGCATAATGTTGTAGGACTTGATCAAATATTACAATAGATAATAATTCAAATTTAAAGGATGGAAGTAGAAATGACCTTTTTTTTTTCTGTTTTTTTTTCTTTTTTGGCAAATCACTCTCCAATTGAGGCAGATGGTCAAGATCATGCTTTATTGCATATAGTAATTGAAAATACAGCACTAAAAGATGATCTTCAAGATAAGGCTTATGCATATCTAGGTGTAACAATACTGCAAAAAGTTTATAATGCACAACTATTGATGGTTACAAAAGTAGGTGTAGCAATGGCTTAAAAATAAAGCAAGAAGTCTATAGTGCAAAAGTTGCTTTATTAGATATACAAACCAAAACTATCAAATTAATATAGAAAATAAAAGCACATGTAAGTTTGAGATTTTTGAAATTAAAAAAAAAAAGCTTCAATTAAAAAAGTCAAAATGTCCAATAGAAGAAGTCAAAGTGGCACATAACAAACATTTGTGATAATATAACTAAAAAATATCAGAAAGTTTGATCAGTGATAATCGACTCACCACTATTGACTTGCCGACAACATCACAATCGGCATTGCTATCGACAATCACTTCCATCCAAATCACGCGTTAGCATTGTAGTTAGATATTATCTATGACTCTATCGATGATCATTTTTATGCGTCAGTTCATTGATGTCGCTAGTATCAATAATTCATCTCAATCACCAATAGATATTATTTTCGTCAAGTACTATTGACGCCTTATCATTCTTTTCATTTAAATTATTTTTTTTTCACTTATCTTTAGTTTAATTAACTAATTTTTATTTATAACAATAAAATAAAATAAAATAATTCAGGATAGTTTCGAAAAATTTGGGATTGGAACGTAACTATTCAATTCTCCACCTCATTCAGATCAGAATAATGTGGGGCAGGTCTTTATTCAAAGAGCTAATTAAACACTTACTCCCCATGTCCCAATTATATAGGCTTGTTTCGTTTTTCACATGGATTAAGAAAATTTCTTTAATGTTATTGAAAAATTAATTTTTGTCAAAATCTTTCATAGTTTACCTCTATTTAATTTTCAGTAAAAACTAAATTATTGTTGAAACTAATAAAGAAGAAAAATGCTATTCATCCCCAATAGGGATGTATTCCCAGTCTATGTGGATGTAAATGATTGGTTAAATGATACGTGAAATTAAATGACTTATTTAATTTCACATATCATTTAATGCAACATTAACATCACATAGACTGGGAATGCATCCTCAGTGGGGATGAATAGCATTTCTCAATAAAGAATTTGAAGAAGAAAAAGAAATGAGGGTTGTTTCATGTTTCCAAGAAGTGGGAAGTGTGTATTTGGATGATTTCAAAAAGTTGACGTATTAAATGAGATAAATTTAATAAGGGTATATTTGTAAATGAACACAACAAAATATTCTACATTAGGAAACATGCATATATATTTGGGATAAGAGAAAAAGGAAACTCAACCTATATAATTGGGACTGAGGAAGTATTCAATAAGAAATGATAGTGAGCTTGTTTCATTATCATAGCATGTAGGAAATTGTTCAATGTTTATTATTTTCAACTATTTCCTTTTTGGAATGTGAGATCATTGGATACTTCTATAAATTAATTTCCTTTTTCTAGAACAAAAACTTAATTCGAAAATTTTGTCACTTAAAAAATGATATGAAATATAAATTAAAAAGGAAAAGCTATCTTTTACAGTTAAATTTACTTTTTCTTCGATTATTAAACCATGTATTTGAAAAGTTAGATGATTAGGCAAACTTTTTTATTTAACTCATAATTTTAACTAGCTTCATTTTTCATTAACAATTCTCATAAGAGAACATGTAAATTATAATGAACTTATAAAGTAGAGAAATTCGAAAATTAAACATATAATTGTTTGATAACTGGATGATCACTCTAATTCATAGTAAATTATGTACATAACTTCAATTGTTCATCTGTGAGTAATTTGTTTCTGGCCATAAAAGACCAAAATCATGCTCTTCCATTAATGGAGTTTCATAAATAATCTGAGAATAATTTTTTAGCCCACCAAATTCTGTCACTGCATCCAACTCTTGTTCATAGGGACCCATGTACCAACTTGCCATGCCAGCAGCAGGTGAAGAAGGGACCATCTCCAAATCCATCCATTGGAAGTCGAGATCATGCAATTTCGAGAAATTCTGATTGTTCATCGACTCATCACTCGATGATTGGCACTCTATTGGATCACTCTCCCATTCGAGATTATCAAATGAATGATAATCTGTATTGTTGGGTGTGATTTCAGCCTCTAGAGATCGGATCACATTTGTTAATTTTTCATCGTCACAGTCTTCAATATGTGATTCATCGAGTAGAGACATGAGAACACTCTGGTCAATATGTGAACTTTCAATGTCGATAAAATCATCATAACCAACGATGGATTCCCAATTATCAGCTACCATAGAGGCCATAGTCTTCAAGAAATGTAGATACTAAGGAAGAATTGATTAAAGAGAAATTTGAAAGGTTTTGTGCACTCAACACATTGGTGGCTCCCCTCAATAAGCTCAAGCCCTTAAATAGGCAAATTATAATGATGAAAAATCAATGTCATAGTCCAAAGACCAAACATAAGAAGTAGGGACGTGGCTAGTGGACATCTTCTCATTTTCGTATACCCACCATCAACCATGTTTACCCTCCAATCAATGATAAAAGCCCAAAATACATGTATGGTCACTAACCAGCTCAAAAATATCTTTTTTTGTTTTTTTGTTTGAAAATACGATAATTTTTGCACGAGTTTTTTATCAATCAATCTCAAATTTGAATAAAAGAAGATGTCTCCATGTTATAAGGGGCCACATCATGTGACATACTATTGAAATATTTAGCCCCTGTTTGATCCGGATTAAAATCTGATTTTAATTCAAATTAAAGTTAAACAATCAATAATAATAACATCTTTCATGGATCCCACAATTTTTCAACCACACATTTCAAAAACTTCTATCACGATCTACTAAAAATCTAATTTTAATCCCCACCAAACACCTCCTTAATTAAATTTCAAACAACCAATCATGTGACATACTATTAAAAATAAGGGGACACGTCCACTTAGGAAGGCCAATAAGCATAGATAAAATGTCTTTGTCTACCACCAAAACACTTTCGAGGAAAACAAGAAAACTCATCCATGTATGGTCTAAACGAGGTAGGATCAAGGACAGGCAATATCTTTAAGATTATGTTAGGTCAAATAGAAGCAAAGTTAAGTGAACAAGGAACTTATCCCATTAGTCACCACCCCCAAATAAAGTGAATAGTTTTCTTTAACATGTTTAGCATTATTGAGTCCTATATCAAAAATATTGTTAACGCATAGGTAAAGTATCCAATTGTGCCAAACTCATCATGTTAAAGAATATTGTACTCTTATAATCAACGAATTCTATTAACGTAAAATACGCATTAATATCCCTCCTTTAGTTCGTGTGCTTTGAGTATTGGTACCAGACATATCATTAACGAATATGTAAAGTATTGAATTGTGTTCAATATATCGTGTTATCATATATTGTGCTCTCATATTAAAAATCACCTTCATTTGGATACGAATTATTATAAATTCGATCAAAACCCTAAACCCTAAAATCAAAAATTAATTTTAATCAGACATTTGTACCTACAATTTATTGTCATCCACACATTCTGTAAGATCCAACACTATTTTCTTACTATTTTTCTTTAAAACCATTAAGTGTTCAACATGCAGCTTATGGATTCATGTAGAATTGGCACCATTGCTTCTTTAGTTTGTCTACTTTTATATAAAATAATCACTTATTTAGAAAAAAGTGAAATTAATCCCACATTAGCTAGGGATAAAGCAAGATTTAGGTCAACAAATAACAACTATTAGTGGAACCTAAATAATAATTTAATCTTTTAATGTTAAGTGGGATATATAGGATAGATTGCACATGAAATTGATAGTGTATGTTGGACCTAACATTTGTTCGGTGCCCAGTTAAGATGCTTAAAGGCTGGAATTTCAAACCAAGTTGGTCCTTTTGAATAATTGAAAACTTCTTCCACTACTTATCATTAGTTTTTTTTAGTATAATTTCAAGTTATGATAAACTAACAGTCGAAGTTAGGGGGGATTACATGTCTGATATAGTTCGATTCTGCGTGAATCATAGACTTTTTCAATTCTCTACGATAAAAAAGAACCTAATTATTTAAAAAGTAAAAAAATCAAATCATAGTTAAAGCATGTTTGTATAAACTTGCAAGTGGGGTAACCTCCTTTAAGGTACACACACATTGTTTAATAAATGTAAAAAGAAAAGAATTTTGAGTTCATCCATGCACTTACGAAGGAATGCGGCAAACTTTATCTGTAAAAACCAAAGTGCTAAGTTATCTTACGATAGATCAAACGAGAACATAAACTATTATAAGAAATAAGAAGTTAAAATATAGTTTATATACATTAGTGTATATCAGACATATACTCACTGGCACGACATGCCCTGTGAACTCTAGTGCAACACAATGTGCGCTGAAAATCGATGTCAGTGAGATGACTGTTGTAATCAAGGCTAATCGTGACCTATTTTTTTACCGCAAAAGATCAACAAAATTTTATTTAGCATTTTTGGTTGATCTGTCACCTAGTAGACATTCATGATCTATTCATATCACGTCTGGAGTCTACTAAAAATACAAAGCGGGTCATGTCAATTGGTACTATTAACATTTTAGATTTTATTTTTTATTTTTATTTTTATTTTTTAGCAATGAAAAAGTAGAGTTACTAGCTAGCACCCACCGAAATATTTGTTGCACATGAGTTGATTTCACAAGCTTTTATGAGAGATGAATGAAAGCCCACAGCCATGTGATGTGATCCACCAATAGTGTCGGCTGTCCCCATTAAAATCCAATTCTCTCGTTCAATTATTTGACTAGAAAAAAATGTTTTCAAAATAAATAATTAATTATAATATAATGTATAAATTAATAAAGGGTCAACTTTGGTCCTAAGAGAGAATCGCTATAAAGATTGTTAAGCGAGATTGAACAAAGTCACATACAATACCTCCCGATTAAGTCTCCACAAATATTTTAGATAATTTGCTAATAAAAAAATGTCATTCGTAAATGAACAATTTATAGAGTTTTTAATATCGTAATACAATATAGAGTTTTTAAATACACATTCTATTTACGCTAAACTAATCTATTAAAATATTTTGAAATTGAAAATCAAAATATCATACTAACATTACATCAATACATAAATTATTATTTGGTAAAATTACCTTAAACCCTAGTTTTCAAGTTTACATTTCAAAAATAAGGGGATGGATTTTATAATTCAAAAATCAGGTGGTAATTACTTTTTTTTTAAATTAATAAAAATAAATTTATTATATCAACTAAGAACACTAGCTCAATTAATATACACCGTCCACGTACAATCATTCAAACCATGTCTCTCTTTTTCTCAGAAAATCGCTCTTCCTCACTCTGTCCAACACGAAACCCACGTTACCACTTCCGTCTCTCTTTCTCTCTACAGCAGCACTCACGCTTCTCTCTTTTTCTACCATTTTCAACCCCACAACTCATAATCGCCAGCATTATCGTGGGAGATTCAATTGAAATAGCCATATTACATTTTAGTTTCAAGCATTGTGGTAGTTGAAATGGTTAGAACTCGTAGTCTTGATGTGAATATGAAGGAGAATGATAAAGGTAAGAGGAAAAAAATATGTCGGATGTTCTTCTTCAGGAAAGAGTATTAAAATGTCGGCCTCTGGCGGGAAATCCATTAAGAAGGTGAAATCTGATTTTGTGAACTAATTTGTGAGTTTTGTGGTGTATTTTTTTTACGAATTTGTGACCTAATTTGGGTATTTTGTGACTGAAATACGATTTTGTGACATATTCTGAGTATTTTGTTATTTTGAAGTGTTTGTGACTTATTTGGTGTGCTGTTCGATCGATTATTATTTATGTGAACTGAATATATTTTCTAAAGTGCCTTTGGTTGAATTAGAATATCATCTCTATCATGTTTTAAAATGTTATTGTATTGCTAATTTTTTCAAAATTTGTGACCAAATGGTTATTTGTTGAAGGTCACAGTAATATGTCTAACATTATGATTGTGCAGGAATGGAGCTATTTAATAAAACCAAGGAATTGGTTCCCTGGGAAGATTACTATAACACCCATACAGAGTCACATCACACACTTTGTGATGAAATTCACTGTTGCTCAGAGGACCATTCTGGAGAACACATGTTTGTCTTTCTACATGCATTGTAGGGAGATAGTAGTGCAGCCACAGTTGATTCACTATATTTTACTATGGGAGGTGAAGCAACCCAACAAGAAGGAGATGTGGTTCAACTTAAATGGGAGATATATTCGATTTTCTATTGCTGAATTCTGTTTTTGGATTGCGGTATGATGGGGTAGATGGTCGACCGATGTTGGATGATAAACCGTCTGCAGTGAAGGATACTTATTTCAGGGACTTAAAAGTTGTCACAAGTGAAAATGTCAAAAGAGTATTTCTTTTACTAGATGATGCACCAAACCTTGACGTGGTTAAGATTGAGATTATTTATCTTATCACCTCATATCTATTTACTACATCTTACCCCAAAGGTCGTGGATCAATACATTTTTGTACTTGCAGACGATTTTGCCATTCTTGGAATGTTCCTTTGCGGTAGATATTTGTTTGAGACCACATTATCGTCATTAAGGAATGGATTATCAAAACAAACAAGTCACTACAGATTGATGGATTTTTTAGAGGTTTTCCAGGTGTGGTTGTATGAGTGCATACTTGTAATTAAGGGGAACGTGGCCACAAGAATTTGTAAGAAACATCCACGAATTATGAATTGGACTGCGCACAAACATCCTTCTGTGGCAATGTTGGAGGACGAGTGTTTGGAAGTGAGAATGTAAGTTCGTAAATACGTTTGAATTGTTATGTACTCATTTGATTTGTTATACATATTTAAAACGACATATGCTAAACTTTTTTCCATCTTATGTCAAATATGTTGTGATAAATGACATTGATCCATCTGAAGTAGAGCTCACGATGCCATATATGACAAGTTCTGAATTTGAATTTCAGATATATTATGACGTGTAACTTGAAATATGTTACTTGTGATTTATTGTGACCAGACTTGTATCATTGTGCTGATTGATTTTGTTGTTTTGTACGTTGGGTACAATCGACAGATGTGCAGTACTCAAAACCTAGACAACCAAATCAGAACATTACAATATCTAAAGCTCCAGTATGCAAAAGTGAGTCTACTCCCCCTGGTGTCAAAGGTACATGTTTGAGATTCAGATGATGATTTTGTTGATCCACCGCAGCAAAAACAGACTAGGGCTGCTAGCTCTAGCTCTCCTATTCAGCCTG